TTTTCATTTACATACCTTTAGTTTGCAACGAACCGGTAGATAAATCACTCTAGATCCCGTGATTTGATACTTTGTTTTCCTCCTATGGTGCCCCTTTCCAATGAGTCTTCTTCTCTTCTGGTGTGTAGTGCTCAAGGTCTGAAAACCAACCCCTAGTGTGTCATCTGTCCATGTGTTGTTGTTTACTCTTCCTTTTGCACTTATATAGAGCTCATTGACATGAAACCCTGTTCACAAATATCACGTCGCACGGTTTTTGGCGATGCCTCTGCCACGGGAATGTTGTTTATCAGGCCGGAATTGGAATGCTCTCAATTTTTCACAGGCCATATGTTCATCTCGTCCAAGTACCAACGCGCCCAATAAGAGAATCCAATCGTTGGTTCCGTTTGGTGAATATTAAGGCCATGATCAATCAGGGAGGATTTCTTAGGAGGATGAAGAATGCTGAGCAAGGAATGTTTTCAAGACTTTTCTACATGGTTCAGATGCCACTCGTAAGCCGGGTTGGAGGGGCACCCAGTCCTGACTATAACACGTCACCAACGCCTCATCGATCACTTTCTCAATCTCTTGTCTCGTGCTTGATTTCGGTAACCGTTGAATACACTATAATGTCAAAATAAAAGAAACAAAAAAAAAAATCGATCGGTTATTCTATTTGTATGATGGAATGAAGGAACTTTCTTGAATCATGAAAGTCGAGAAAAGAAAGATAAGACAATTCATACTGACCACTTTCAAGCCAAGTGCGGCTCTTCGACACGGTCCACCCTTAGACTCGCTAGATATCCGATCACTTAATTCGATCACTCGAAGATAAGTCTTGTATGATCTGTATAAAGGATACGACCGAGCTCAGCAGTCGATCGATAAGAAATCTATCTGACGCCATGATATATACTGACAGTTCATATTCACCCGCCGTATAAGCAGTCTCGGCATATCGCAAGATATGGAAGGTATTTTCGGGTTGGATTAAGATCAAGTCCTCTAAGGCTGACAGACTTTGCTCGTATCTGAAACCGCCCCCCCCGCCAAAAAAAGAGAGAATTCGAATAAGTTTGAATGAGATAGGGAGGGGTGTAAGGTAAGAAGAGACTCAACAGTCCTAGACTAGCGTAAATATCCGCAAGTTGGAGCCAGCCCTCAGGATCAGAATAGACGGTATCAAGGTGATCGACCAGGAGTTGAATCGCTGTGTGGAGTGAAAATGGAGTGGATGATGTTGATGATGATGATGAGGAGGGTTGGGATGCTTGGGGACAAGTGGGAGGTGAATGGTGTAGGTGGAGTGCAATCAATCGTTTCCGGACACGCTACAAGGAATCCCGTTTTTTTTTTCAATTTTCGTATGTTAAAGATATTTTTGGCTGCTTTCAAGATCCTCATGAATCGCATGAAAACTGACCATGTTGAGCTCTCCGACACTGCCTAAATCAGCATTCTTCGGACTAAACGATTTCTCTAACTCTTGCTCATAAAAGCTCTTAGCACCCAGTAGATCGCCTTGAGCTTCCATCAACATCCCATGCAATACTGTCACTCGAGCTGATTTGGGAAATTTGGCTTCTAAGCGTTGGATGACCGTCTGATGTATACAAATAAAGAAGCCAATCAGCTGTCAACTCTTGATGACCATCGATAATATTCAACAAAAGAATTTCTTCGGTGTTGGGTTTGACCTTAGCAAGCTCGACGTTTCCTATGTCCAATGCAGCCACTGCGACCTGCTCATAAACCGTCCAGACTACCGTGTAGAAGAAGCACACAAAGAGAAAAAAAAAAGACAGTCGATCAGACGTAAGATTCCATACACACAGAATCAGGGAATTGGTAGAGGGAGTGACCAGGATAGTGGCGACTTACGATCATCACCCAACCGACTGGTTCGTCCAGCAGTTCCCAAGACAACTTCGGCCAATTCGACCACCTCCTGGCTCTGTCGAAGGCCCGAATCCCTCAAGACTTTCAGTCGGTCGATCGCCTGGTTCAACGAAACGGCTTCCTTCATGATCGATGGTCAGTTGATATATATGTACCGGTTGTGCGTGAATCGCTTTCGAGTTCTTTGACGATGATAGATATATTATTGTAGAGGGGAACTTGTTATGCCCCGGAATCAAAGGTGACGCTTGTCTTGCCTGGCAGCCGGGTATGTAGCGGGTACCTCCGTGTGGTACGACAGCTACATCCAAGAAAAAAAAGCATGCCGCCCGAACCAGTCCTCATCATGCTATGTAGTACTAGTACATATTGGATGAGATTGGATAGTCGTTCTCCTATCGACCCAGTTTCGAAACATCTTTCTCGTAACTAATTTCTTGAGACTGCAAAACGGCTTGTGTATGTAGAATACCTGGGCTAGAATCACGCGTCACAGGCAGGCTTTGATAGGTGCTGGTTTCATTCTGCTTTCTTCTCACCTTGAAAAGGCGGAACTTCAAAGCGAGGAAGCCATGGCGAAATAGGGATGCAGGTGCCACGGTAAAATAAGCTTCCAATTGACTATCTTCTTTGTGAATTATGCCGCTGATGATCTCTGATTACAAGCCTCAGCAGAACAAAAAACGAAAGAAAGATGAAAAGGGCGAATTTTGTTCAAACCGAACATTTTTTTTTTCCAAAGCAAGCCAGCAGCCCGCTTGCTCGGTTTTCCTCTCAGCTTAGTAGATGATGAATCAGAGAGTCATATGATTGAGAGATTCTGAAATGAGAAAATATAACTGATAGATTGACAACACACTGGAGTTACATTTGTGGGATATAAACAGCACTCGATACATCCGATACAACCAGGACAGACAGAAGAAAAGAGGAAAAAATAAATCCTGCTGAGTAGCACTAGTAGCGAGGAAAGAAATCAAGCCTTGGTGATGAGCATGACCACTTGCTTCTCGTCGATGTTCTTCTCGGGCTTGTTGTTAGCAACCTCCTTGTTTTCCTGGTAGGAGAAAAAAAAGAGATAAATAGTCAGTATTAGATCTATGTTCTTTTGATGAGAAACAAAATACGATGGGTATTGAAAGGCTACACTGACTGCGTTGGAGCATCCGCTCAAGATGCTACGAACAGCTGTCTCGAGGTCCTTCGAGGAACTAGATAGACAGCAAGAAGATGATGTCAACGTTTTGGAAACTATTGGTCATGAATTTGATATACAGAGCGATTCCTTACATGTGGCCTGGGGCGAATTTCTCCTTAGCGTTGGCGAGCGCGACCTGAATAAACAAATATAGACCGGTCTCCTTAGTACGCGAGGAATAAGAGGACGCGATTTGCTTGTGCATACCTTGCAACCCCCGTGACTCGCTGTCGAGACCTTCTTCTCAGACAATTGCTGGGCAGCCCTAGAGAAATAGTAGAATGGCTGACAGTTAGCGGGCCGATTGGATGAGAGATGTTGGGGATGATTAACATACGCAACGCATTCCTTGGCGGAGAAAGTTTGAGGAGCGGCGCCATGGGTCGTACAAGTAAATGAGTCGGCAGTGTCTCGACGGACAAGCTGCTCAGCATCGAGACTGATCGCACGTCTGCTCACAGATTTTTCAGCGTCGGTGGCCTTGGCAAAGTAGCCATTGATGAGATTGTAGCTGTAGGGAAAGGTCCCGAGTCCGTAGCAGTACGAATTGAGCAGCGAGTAGTAGTTGGTGTAGAGTGAGGGGTAGGTTGAATATAGCGACATTCCGCTCAGTCCCCAATACCCGGCAGAACGGAATCTCCCATAGTACCATTTGTCGTTGACTTGTTCGGGTTTGGCTTGAGCCACTTCATCTGCGCGGGACATGGCGACAAGCACAGACAGAAGAGTGATCAGGTGGGCGAAGGCGACCATTTTGCTGCTTTGGTGAGTTTGGCGAGTTGGAGAGTGGGGTGGGTGATGTTCGGCGCTGGGTGCAAGTGCAAGGTTCGATTTCCGAGTGGGTAGGATGGCTGGGTGAAGATGGAACGGAGTCAATCATTGCCCTTTTTATCTTACCAAACATGGCTGCACCCGCCTAGAGTCTTGCAAGTATTCCGAGGCTTCTACCAGCAGCTCTTTGACTTACCCTAGACCAAGATAAACACCGGAGCGGCCATATTGCGCACTAGACAACAATGGAACTGATGTTGATTAGATCAACAACGGATCGGTTAAAGGGAGATGGACAACCGGTGCGTGGTTCAATACTAGGTCAATCGTTCGAAGTCAGTTAAGACCGATCAAATGTGACTCCCAAGCCGATGGCGTTTGTTTTTCGGTTCACGTTGGATGGGAAGAGGCTATGCCGGTTGATCAGCAACCGATGCGGACAACGCCGCGCACCCATCCGGACGGCTTCAAGTCTCAAGTCACAATGGCTTGGGTCAGCTCTAGGCTTGGTCTCAACGATCACGGGATGTGTTCCTAGCATGTCTGGGCGGATCTGGGAACAATATTCGAACTGCACCTGACGGTTCGTCAGTGACACTACAGTTGATGTTGCTGCCGGACAACCGGCTGGTGATGAATCCTTGGCCGGCCGAGTTCGACATATGCTGATTGGCTCCGAAGGCAAGTTAATGGGTACTGGAACCCAAGCTATGCCCATTGGGTAAGCACAAGAGTGCGGCCCAACGGCAGACTGCTTGCCCAACGGACCAGGCATTGAACATTTGTGCTCAAGTCGACTGTCCGGCCGCAGCATCTCATCTACGGACCAACCGGCATGGGAAAGCCTCCCGTGATCGTTGAGACCAAGCCGAGCTGACCCAAGCCATTGTGACTTGAGACTTGAAGCCGTCCGGATGGGTGCGCGCCGTTGTCCGCATCGGTTGCTGATCAACCGGCATAGCCTCTTCCCATCCAACGTGAACCGAAAAACAAACGCCATCGGCTTGGGAGTCACATTTGATCGGTCTTAACTGACTTTGAACGATTGAACTAGTATTGAACCACGCACCGGTTGTCCATCCCCCTTTAACCGATCCGTTGTTGATCTAATCAACATCAGTTCCATTGTTGTCTAGTGCGCAATATGGCCGCTCCGGTGTTCATCTCGGTCTAGGATAAGTCAAAGAGCTGCTGGTAGAAGCCTTGGAGTACTTGCAAGACTCTAGGCGGGTGGAGCCATGGTTGGCAAGATAAAAAGGGCGCTGATTGACTCCGCTCCATCTTCACCCAGCCATCCAACCCACTTGGAAATCGAACCTTGCACTTGCACCCAGCGCCGAACATCACCAACACCACTCTCCAACTCGCCAAACTCACCAAAGCAGCAAAAAATGGTCGCCTTCGCCCACCTGATCACTCTTCTGTCTGTGCTTGTCGCCATGTCCCGCGCAGATGAAGTGGCTCAAGCCAAACCCGAACAAGTCGACGACAAATGGTACTATGGGCGATTCCGTTCTGGGTATTGGGGACTAAGCGGAATGTCGCTATATTCAACCTACCCCTCACTCTACACCAACTACTACTCGCTGCTCAATTCGTACTGCTACGGACTCGGGACTTTTCCCTACAGCTACAATCTCATCAATGGCTACTTTTGCCAAGGCCACCGACGCTGATAAATCTGTAAGCAGACGGGCGATCAGTCTCGATGCTGAGCAGCTTGTCCGTCGAGACACTGCCGACTCATTTACTTGTACGACCCATGGCGCCGCTCCTCAAACTTTCTCCGCCAAGGAATGCGTTGCGTATGTTAATCATTCCCAACATCTCTCATCCAATCGCCCCACTAACTGTCAGCCATTCTACTATTTCTCTAGGGCTGCCCAGCAATTGTCTGAGAAGAAGGTCTCGACAGCGAGTCACGGGGGTTGCAAGGTATGCACAAGCAAATCATGCCCTCTTATTCCATTCCTCGCGTGCTAAGGAGACCGGTCTATATTGGTTTATTCAGGTCGCGCTCGCCAACGCTAAGGAGAAAGTTGCCCCAGGCCACATGTAAGTAATCGCTCTGTATATCAAATTCATGACCAACAGTTGCCAAAACGTTGACATCATCTTCTTGCTCTCTATCTAGTTCCTCAAAGGACCTTGAGACAGCTGTTCGTAGCATCTTGAGTGGATGCTCCAACGCAGTCAGTGTAACCTTTCCATATTGATTCTATTTTGTTTCTCATAAAAAGATCAAATACTGACTATTTATCTGTTTTTTTTCTCTCCTACCAGGAAAACAAGGAGGTTGCTAACAACAAGCCCGAGAAGAACATCGACGAGAAGCAAGTGGTCATGCTCATCACCAAGGCTTGATTTCTTTCCTCGCTACTAGCGCTACTCAGCAAGATCTCTTTTTACTTCTTTCTTCTGTCTCTGTCCTGGTTGTATCGGATGTATGGAGTGCTGTTTATATCCCAGAAATGTAACTCCAGTGTGTTGTCAATCTATCAGTTATATTTTCTCGTTTTGAAATCAATCAATCAATATGACTCTGTGATTTATCATCTACAAAACTGAGAGCAAAACCGAGCAAGCGGGCTGCTGGCTTGCTTTGCAAATTTTATTGGGAAACCAATTTCAACACTTTCTCGACAAGATTGAGCGCAGTTCAGGTGATTCTAGAAAGAAAGAAGGCTGGAACCAGCACCTCTCCCCGCGTTGCACAGGTCAAGTTCCATGACCACGGCCTGCTTGTAGCGCGCAACTCAAGCTGGGATTTTCTTTGTCTGCTTTATTTCAACCTAAGATATATTTTAGGGCGGGCATTTTTTTCAGATTATAGTAGAGAGCAACATGAACACTAGAAAGACCATGGAGTATGATGACCAAGTCAAAGTGCTTCAGACAACCAGTTGGTTAGGGAGTAGCTTTTGTGCGGTGCAGAAGTGCCTACCCGCTACCTGGCCACCACAGGACACATGTCACCTTAAATTCCGCAGAATGAGAAAATTTACTTCAGGAGCAATTCACGTTCAGTGGGTACATACATCAGCCAGCCATCGAGGAATCTGGATGAAAGCGACTTTTGTTGAGATAGGCGATCGATCCACTGAAAGTCTTGAGGTATACGGGCCTTAGAGGCCATTCAATTGGCTAAATGGTATAGGTATCTCGGAAAATGCTCGCCGAACCAATCAGTTGGGTGATGATTGCAAGTCATTGGGATACTGTCAACTCTCTTCTTCCCCGGTTCTCTTTGTGTGAGCGGCATCTCATCGTCTGTCTTTTTCTCTTTTTGTGCTTCTATGCGGTTGTCAGGGCGGTCTCAGTGGCTGCAATGGATGTAGGAAACATCGTGCTCGCTAATAAGGTTCAACCAACGCGACAGAAAAACCACATGAGCTTTATTGATTGGTGAAGAGTTGACGATCAATCGACTTGTTTTTGTTTTTTGTTTACTTGACACCAGGCGGCAGGCAGTCATCTAACGATTGGAAGCAAAATCAGCATGAGGGACCGAATGACATGGGATGGGAATGGAAGCACCAGGCGATCTACTGCGGCTAAGAGCATTTGCAAGCAAGAATGAGAGAACATGTCCAGTCCAAAGAATGCTGATTGCACTAGTGCAGGAGAGCTCAACACAGAAAGTTTTCATGACTCATGAGGATCTTGTAAGCAGGAAAAAACACCCAGATCAAATGAAAGTTGAGCACCTAGCCAGGAAAAAGCAAGCTTCCTTCTCTTGGAAAGGGGATCCTCACTCCATCCAGCAATTTCCAAGCCATTTCTAGAACATTACAAGTGGCTCATAAATCCCTACACAATTAGTTTTGCACCAGCGCTTCTGGAGGCAGCCGTTCTGGCAATCTGTTATTAAGCCCAGCGTTTTGTGATGGATCCTTCCTGGAAAGCTGCTTATACCCAGCTCATTGGATGTCATCTTTCCAGTACATTGAAGTTGTTGACCTGGAGCTCCAGGTTCTAAATTAGGAAGTTGTATGATGTGATAAATGCAAAGCTGGTGTTCTGATATTAACTGGAGTATTTATTGAGAACTGGAAATATATAGACAGTGGTTTGGAGATGTTTCTGAAGATGGAGAGGAGTGGTGTCAATAATATTGTATATTAAAATTCTTGTAGTTCTGGGGAGCATAGAAATGAGGAGGGTACAACTTACAGAGATCATCAAGTACACAGCTTTTTATGAGCATATTAATACCATTACAATAAGGAAAATAGGTTTGATTATATAGAAGATAACCATTGTAGATGGTAGAAAATTTAATGTTGCTTGTCAGAGGTACATTTTATTGAATTTCAGACTGACAGTGGAAGGGATCCCCCCTGGTGAAGCTGGTGTTAAACACAGCTCATTAGCAGGAATTCGTATTGGCAAGCAGCTGGCTTTAAACCAGCTCACCAGCATTAATCCTTCTCAGAAATCTGACATAAGCCTAAAGAACCTTTGAAATGAATTGCTCAAAGAGGAAAAACAGAGCCTTGGTTAATTGACTCCCATATCTGGAAGTTGTTGGGAGGACCGCTTGGGGACTGTCTCAGGATGTCCCCAGCCCCAAGTTTGTGCCCCCCCCCCAAAGCTTGGAAGTTTCTCCTCCCATTCCTCCAGTGGGAATGAAAAACAGCTCCCCAAGTAGTGTGTTTCCTAAAAAGCTTGGACACCATTCACTTTATTCTTTATTCATTTATGTGATAGCCCAGTCACTGTCTGGTCACTCCATTGAGGAAGAGGGAGGTACATCACAGCCTTGTAGAAGGGATGATAGGGTTGACAAAGCACTACAGTTCTGCATATGAACTGGTCCTTTTGCTAACTCTATTCCAAGAGCATATAGTGAAGCGGGCTGTATCCAGAGTAGGGGTGAGGATGGGTCGGGTCGGGGCAAAAAAATGCTGACCCGACCTACCCCAAAAATAAATGGGTCAGGTCAGGTTGGGTTACTTTTTCAAAAACTTCCGCCCTGCCCCGACCCAAGACCCACAACTTGGGTCATGGGTCGGCGTGGGTTGACCCATGGGGCTAACATTTTTTTTTTTGAGGAAGAGGTTTTTTTTTGGGGGGGGGGGCATGATGCCTTCTTCTTTGCATCATTTAACGAGTGTATATATTTGGAGAGAAAGATTAAGAAACAAAGAAAGGTGAATGGAGAATAGAGAAAAATAAAAAAACAAGGACAGCTAGATCCATCATCAGCCAGCTACTCTGGTTGATTGTACTATCATTGTTCATGTCTCAGATTGGGACTTGAGAGTTGTAACTCCCGCGTGTCAATAACTCAGCATGCCAGGCAATTTTCAACAAAAGCATGCATGTTGAAACTTGGCCTCCTCATGGGTTGACCCATGGGTAGTCCATTTTTGGAAAAGCCTGACCCAACCCACCATGGGTCATCTAGTGAGCCGACCCAACTTGGTCAAAAAATTGGGAAATCCGGGCTTGTGCCACCCCACCCCTACCCAGATTCCAGCTGGGTCGGGTCAAACCGTGAGTCAACCCAACCCATCCTCACCCCTAATCCAGAGGTGGTTTTGATCCTGGATGTTATCTGACAGGTGTCCAGATAAAACCCAACGGACAGAATAAAAACATGAGATTTCTTGAATTGAAGTCAAATCTTAATCCCTACTCAATCTCTCTATCCAAGTTACCCAGGTCTTGACAAGCAACCAAGTCACACAGCACCTGGGCTGAGGGCTTCTGTCTATGATCAGGCCACACAATCCAGGTGTTCTTAGAAATTGAGACAAACAGAACAGTGTCAGTAGGCTATCTAGTGGAAACTTTGGACAAACACAGTTTATGTTTGGGGAGTGACAGAAAAGTAAGCTATATGGTAACACCAGAGCACTTCCCATTGGTTTTGTAGCATCTGGGATCAGAGTTCCATGCAAGATCTTAATTCAGTGGGGCTAAATATGAATGTGTACACTGCAAAATTAAGCAACTCTTAGCAGTTGACATGCAAATTTACAAAGGCAAATTTGTAGTATCACATTTTGACTGCTAATAGTTGCACAACTTTTCCTTGCAGTGGTAGGGTCTACAGAAATCAAAGGGGGAAGTCCTTCACTTTTGGACAAACAAAAGCACACCAGGGTCTTATAAAAACACCACAACACAAATTTGGACTTCATTAATTCAATTGTGCTACACCCCCCTTCAGTACATGAGTTTTGAATGTGAATAATAATATAGAAAAAACATAAGTTTCTGAACTGTAACTTTTAGACAGGATATTTTTTGAAGAATTGCTGCACACTGTTATCAGCAATTATATGCTTAAGCTATTGTAAAGATGGGGACAGCCACTACAATGTACTCAAAGGTTCATTTTATATTACAATCAACACTGACACAGATATGGTATCTGCCATGTAGCACTATGTTGTATCTGAGCCCCAATAAAAAAAACTATCTGACCAATGTGCTTTTATCTGCAAGGAGGTATAACAAAGTTGTTTTTTGGCTGTTCAGGTTTGCGGAATTCACCATGATACACACAGTGTACTGTATCCGTTTCAGTGTTGTTACAATGTATGTATTTTGTGGCTTTGAAAACTTCTGTATTTGAAGTTCCTATTCCTTTGTGAATTTTGTGGTTGATTCCTAGAGGAGCAGAAAGGAAATTAAAAAAAAAAAAAACAAGAAAAAGTTCTTTCTCATTTTGAGAAAAGGATGAGAAAAAGGGAACAAAGATTGAAAAAGATTAGAGTCAAAGGGTAGAAGAACATGAAAGACACTCAAAGAGTGGATAAGAGATATGTAGTAGATATATTTTTTACAATGAGGAGATTGATGATGAGTGAGTTTGATTTATTGACTGTGAGATTGACTGGAGAGGAGAAAATATGTTGAGCTCTGCCATAGATCTCACAAAAAAATCAGATTCAAAATTCCCTCACACCCCACACTTGGAAAGACTTGCCTCTTAGTATGTAGCACGATGAGAAAATTCAACTGTTAAATAGCCTAGATTGGAAGAAGGTACTACCAGGAGAAGGTCTTTCTCCACTTGAAATTTTCTTAATGAAATAATGGTACTACATACTCCTTGAATATATGTTAACAAACTGACCTTGAATCCCACACCCACCCTTTCCTTACAGAGAATGCAGTTGAAGAAATGGACTGCAAAGATAAGTTGTATAAAGAAATGCAATGATTATCTTCCTGGAGAGAACACAACAAGCAAGCAGGACAAGGTGAAGGAAACAACAGGGACATATCTAGACCAGATGTTTCTTTAAGGTACCAAACAAACTAAAGCTAGCAAGACCACTGTACTCATTCAAAATTTGGTGGGAGGATTGACAAGCAGATGATTCATGTTGCAGAATCCAAACAGTTATGAAAATACATATTTCCGATTTTAGAATAGGGAGCTTCAAAAATCAGAATGAAATATTGATAGTTTCCCTGTTGTCGTTGACTCCAGAATTCAGAAGATATAGGACTGTCTGCAAGTGGACTAAACCTATTGAGGCCTGCAACCATTATCAAATGCTTCTTGCAGCGGAGGAATCGGTGAATGCTAGAGACAATAGACCATGAATGCAAGCTCAGGAGTCAAAAGCTTATCATTTCAAGCAAAGATTAATGGGAATCGAACTGACAAAAAATACTTTGGCAGGACAACACCATTTAGATTCCGGCTTTGCGCTACATGGAATCGTTGAACTTGCCGTCGCGACTTGCGATTCCCATTGAGAGCAAAAAAAGCAGGTCAGTTTTACTCTACATAGTAGACGGCTACGGTCATGGGTCTTCAGTGAAAAATTACACTCACAAATATACGGTTCAGGTCCTCGAACCGCACACGAATCTACAAGTGGCGGGTTACATTTACCATCGGTCATCGTAACTTGGAAAACTAATACCAGGATAGCGAATGAGGTTATGAAAACGTTCATAATGAAAGTAATCCTAGGGGAACAGTAAAATCGGGGAGCGGATTTTTTTTTTCAAGTTCACGTTTGTTTGTTCGAGATGGAAATCGATGGTTTGATGTAAAGGAAAAGCAGAAGGCAATGAAAATTGTGGTCCGTTAAATACAAACGCACCGGAAAAAATATTTCTTCTTGGTCACCGACTCAACATGTCTTGCAGCCGCCTACCAATAAAATACACGGTCGGTCGGAACAAATGTTATTTGGTCCGACTCCGATGCTGTATGAGAAGTGGCCCTTTAGCCTCTTCAAGCCGTTCAACAGAGTAACGTGAGGAGTGCACATGGGTGAATGACCAGGCATATCGACTGGCGCCATACACATGGAAAAAACGATTTTTCCGGGTCTTAGCCGGCGCCTACATAGCCCGTTCAGCTGAACACATGTGTTCAAGATGAGCTTAAACATACACAATCAGTTTTTGCTTCGTCAAGGTCAATAGAGGATATCATGCAATCACTCCCAGTGTTATCCTTCGATTGTTGTGAAACAAATCGTCCACTTCCAGGTTGCTGGAGTCAAACAGTTAACTTGCAAGAATTGAACTTAGTGAATATGTACATACACACTGAAAGCATGTCTAGCAGATCTGGTTTCTCAGACCACCCAATGGCCAGGCTTCGGATCGATAATGATAGCAACTCCTGCTAGTTTTCATTGACTATTGGATGTGTTCAACTTATCTGATTCACAGATATATTCTTGGTTTATGAAGAGACTTCTAAATGGGACAGTTGTTCAATGGGTTTCTTTATTTTGATTTGGTGGATAACAAAAAAATAAGCATGATTTGTTCCAGAAACGAAAGCAAAAAAAGAAACTCAATTGTCTCTGGGTAAAAATTTGGGTGGATTATTTTTGAAGAATTACTATAAGTATGCGCAAATACAATTGAGCCTAAGGATGTATCAGTGTGTTTTATGAGGAAACTGTTTCATCGTTATCAGGAGAGGAGGAGGATCTACAGGCCATCATTAGGATTAAGAGAGTAGGAAGATGGATCAAGCTAGCCCAGAATAATTTTTTAGCTTCCTGTTCTTGACGAGCCTTGGATTCGAATGAGCCGGAGATTTTAGGGATAGAGCGGAGGAGATGAATGGGAGAGGAGGCCAATGAACTCAGTATTTTTTGAGAGAGTGGGCCGTTGGGGGTGGCGATCCAGAAACGAACGGCGGGAATGATGAGTGCCAAGTTAGGGATTAGACTGAGGAAGCCAAAGGTGGAAGTAGTGAGGCCGTAGTAAGGGATCAGCCAACTAGATAACGGGATCGCGGCGAGTGCATATCTGAGGCTGACTCGGGCGTTCAGGGCGGGATGGAGGTTGGACATCATCATGTAGCCTGCGCGAGCGTAATCCCTCCTGAGGGTATGTGCGAGGGAGTTAAAGTGAGGGAACTGCCAGACGTAGAGTAGGCCGGCGGTGAGCCAACTGGCGGGATGTCCGAGTGATGCGCCGGCAGCAGTGGAACCCATTAGCGCCGGCAATCCGCCCACGAGTGCACCCAACCAGGTGTTGGTGACCGAGATCCGTTTGAGAGGGGTGTAGACGAAAGCGTAGAGGAACAAGTTGGAAACACCGAGCAAGGCCGTCGTCGGGTTGACCATCGTTGCGAGTATGAGCGAGCCGCTGAGCCCGGAGACAGTCGCAAAGACACTGGCATGGTGGGTCGAGATCACCCGACGGGCCAATGGTCTCGTCCGAGTCCTCGACATCTGCGCATCCATTGGGGCTTCAAATATCTGATTGAGCGTATTGGCGGATGCTGAGCAGAGGAACGTGCCGGTTGCGGTGGCTAGCAGGGTTGTCAATGAGCTGGGCGGGGTAGCCGCGGTGATCGGTGAGAGAGCATAGCTAGCCATCGTGGTGAGGGTGATGAGAGATGAGAGGCGAGCCTTGGATAGTGCTTGGTAGAGGGCTATCCGGCGGGAGAGCGAGAGTCTTGAGTGTATTGGTTTCCATTGGAGGGCCTGTTCAGGAGGGCTATGTGAGGCGAGGTTGACTGGGGACTGAGATGGATTGTGAGTGGTCCTGTTGAAGTAGATCAGATTCCTTCTCCGTTTGAGATGATGATGATGATGAGAAGTGAGGAAGGCGACCGAGGAAGATAGAGTGGTGGTGGTGTTGGTGGTGGTGGTGAGTGATCGAAGTGATGGTCGGCAAGACATGGTGCTCGGCTGGCGGGCTCCCCTCGGGCGAGAGTGCCCGGGCTGATCAAAGGGTGGAGGAGTTCAAATTGAATATGCATAGACACAGCCCTAACCTGGAAGTTAACCTGCCTTAACCAAGCGGCAACTTAAACTTACATCAAAAGCTTCACAAATGGGACATGATGAGTACAGCAGAATTAACCAAGAGCCCGGGAAGAGCAGCTCCATCGAGAAATACACTGTTGAGCCATTTCTTTTTCCCTTGCATAGCTGAGCCTGCCCACCGACGCATTGTCCGACAAGGATGTTCTCATATATAAGGTGTTGGGCAGAAAGCGGCAGATTGAGCTGTATACAGCCAGCCTCCCTCCGGTGAAGAGGGGATGGCGCTCGCAGATCTGCCTGGCTCGTAGTTGTGAAAACAGAATCCCAACAAATTGAATGAGTTTATCCCACATGGCAAGGTCTCACATTTGTAGGTACTACGCTTGGGAGGAGTGTGCTGTAGCCCAAAGTTTCTTGGGATTGCAGCTTAGCGGCTTACAGACTGGAGGGTTGCGAGATTGGCGTAATCAAGAAGACATGGAGTTCGGCAGGGAAAGAAGTACAAGAGCCCACCCACCCACCCCTACTCACCATCTCGGCGGTTTCTTCTGGCAGCGGCCAGCTTGGGGCGCTCGGGTTTCGCAGATTGTGAGGGAGGGCCGTAGAAGATTTGATATAAGTGGTATGTAGTATAATCGTCGAGGATTTCGACGTCAATCACCGTGTCCTCATTGCCGACCTGGATGGATTAACAATAGGCGAATTAGAAAGGCCTGTCTCTGAAAGCAATCCGAGTACTACTTGAATCAAAGGTGAACTAACAGTGGCCAAGTCAGGGCGCATGTTTCGGATCAGGTTAATGCCAGCTGTTTTGACAGACTCCGTTGCGTTAAGGAGCCGCATAGACAACTCTCGCTTTTGCTCGAAATTCAGTGTTTGGTAGTAGACTCGCGCGGGTTGGCTAGATTGAAAGGAAGGGGCGCAAAGGAGTTGATATAGTTTGTATAGAGTGCGCTCATCCAGAGTGTCGATGTCAAGTTCTATATTTCCATTTTCATCCTGGATGGATCACCGGTGGGTGGATCAAAAGCTTTACATCTCCGAAAGCAACAAACCTGAATACGCATGTCGATCAAAGATGAACTTACAGCTATCAAATCAGGACGATTCGTTCGGAGCAAGTCAACGGCCGCCAATTGCATGGGCTCTGTCGCGCGAGTAATTTGTTGAGCCAACTCTCGTTTTTTGTAGTAATCCAGTTCTTCGTAGTATTCTGATACCGGAAAACGTTCTGTTACAGAACGTGCGTCGACGAAATTCGCTCGAGCCGAATGCAATGATTGTTCCATCGGGGCTAATCGGTATGAGCTGGTGAGCACGCTCGGACCTTTGATACCTTCCACGGCTTAACAATTAATGGTCCCCGGGACTGCTAGGGTTCGATCGGAATCCATAAATATTCAAGGAGGATGTGTTCAAATGTGTTTCGGGACAAACTATATACATACAAATCACTTTGTTTTCTTAGGGATCAAGTCTGCCGAACCTTCCGATATCTTTGAGGAAGTAGTCGTCGCCGGTCGTGACGGGTGAAATGTGATTAAATCCCAGCATGGATGCCGGTAGACGGCCCGCCGGCGAAGTAGCTTGGAAAAAGTCTCCCGCGCGGGCCGCGCAGGGCTCTGGTCCCCCACAGTGCACTAAGGTCTGCCTTGCCATAACGACCAATATGTAGTAGAACACTTGGGGAATAAAAGTCTGGCAGTCTCTGCTTGGCCAGGGTTTACTCACTGCAAGCTTCTCGAGTCAAACCCGGAAGGATGAAAGGCCGAAAGGGTATCTGTTCTGCGGTCGGCGCAATGCGATAGGAAGCTTGTAAGCTCGGCGTTCACCTCCCGCTGGATCGCGGGTCATCTTGCGGAAGTTTCCAGATTGGCAGGAAAGCGAGGCTAAACACACAAACCTCTGTGTCGAAAACCCCGCAAGTTCTCTGCGCAAGTCACGCATCGCACCTCTGTCCTAGCTTGGCACGATCCCCCTCATTCCGGAAGCTCGTTTCGCGCCCGCCGGACTATACCAGGCGAGAGGGTCGGGTTAAGCTAGACCCCTCCCCTATTGCAGTTCGACATGACCGAAGTCGCTTGATGAACGAGTGAGTCGAGAGAGCCGTTGATGCAGAAATGATTTCGGATCGAAAGGCGTCCCAATCATGACTTTCGAACGACTGTGCATGTATTATACTCTAGGACTACATCTGACACAATCAGAAGAAATCTACTGCGAGACGAGGCTTCATCAAAGTTTGTCAAAGTCCATACCGGCGATGTGTTTCGGGTCTGAAGATTGAAATCCAGCTGGCTGGAACTTGGATGAGACCACGAAGCTTGTTGTCAGGCCGGGGACGACCAAACCTGAGAGATACACTGCCCTGAGCCTCGTCTGTCGAGTGGTTTCGAGTTCTCTGCGCCCTCGAATGCGTTTGGGATTAGGTATTCAACCAGTTTTACACCTTCGCTTGAAAAGCTCCATTGAAGTATACGCTGTCTCACTGAAGCCAGATTGCTCATCAGCATCCGTCTGAGTGGCGGACAATCTCCCATTACATAACTGGCACCAAGGATATTTATGACCTGCTTTCTGATAATCAACTCTAACTTAGAAACAAGCTCTTCCTCAAGAATTTCTTCACCTCCTTGCTTCACTCCAACCTAATAATCAAGTCCCCCTCTCTTCTAAACAACTTATCTCGTATCTTAAGTTCTGGGGATCATATATATATATACATTCTTTTCAACTTGATTACATCTGAATTAATTGATTGAAAAAAGCATGCCATTCGCTCATTAGGGAACTCAAATTTCTTCTTGATATTTAACAATCTTGGGTTCAGGTTTTAGTAACAGCACCCAACCATACTCTCTCGCACACAGGAACAGATACGCACAACCAACCGCCTTCAAGAGACGATAGTTTGTGGTCAATAAAAGGCTGGGTCTATTAAGATTGTCTTTCACCTGAAGATTGCATGCAAGAATCTGTCAAATACACCAATCTACGCAATTCCACACTGAAGAAGGGGAGTGATGAATGCGTTGAAACTTATGGGATCTATCAGCCTGGTATTTGGGATCATACTTCTGTTAGTAAATCTCTTCCTGAAAAAGATACATTTAAGTTTTGTAAAACTTTGTTACTGATAGGTATTCTTCCCGTTGGTAGGCTTTTACCATTACTCTCGACCCCAGTTGTCAAAGGCTTATCATTCTGGCGTGCGGTTTTTGAGATTGATGACCTGAAAGTAGAAGTAAGAACCGGGTTTTGGGGCGCTTGTACTTCTTATAAAGATACCTCCGATCGCATTGGACCTGATTTCAAAAAAGGGAAGAAGAAGCCAAAGGGAGGGTCGGATGCAGATGTTTGGGTGAAATGTACGAAACCCAAGGCAGGCTATTCATTCAGCATGTCTTCAACCGTGCCTGATGCGGCGGGTGAATTGAGCTCTACTCAGACGTTATTCTTGTTTTGGTTGCTACTTGGTAAGTCAATTTCGATGTCATGTGAAGTAACTCTGAAGGCTCTGTTCTCTCACTGATTTCAATTTTACTTTGGTATGAACAATCAAATTGTCTCAACAGCCGCTTTTCTTGCTTTGATCTCCTTGGCCCTTTCGTTTTCTCCGAACTACTATCAATGGAAACACGCCGCAATCCTCGCGCTCACGTCGAGCGTTCTCGGATTCGGTACCTTCCTGGCCTGTGTGGTGATTTTCACCGGGCTAACGAGAGAGACACGGTTAACGGATTCTGCAAAAACAATACCAATCTATGGAGGTTTACAAGGCTGTACATTCTTCCCATTGTCGGCTTGTATTCTTCTGGGAATTGGGGCCGGATTGTTATGGATGAGTTTCCGGCAAGAATTCTTCAAGCTTCACAGGCGTTCAAATCGACCAAATGAAAACCGGATAAGTCACAAATCGGAAACCATGCCGAGCCTTCCGCCTCCGATCCTGGGAAATGATGGGATCAGTAGAGATGAGTGGTTCCAACAGCCACTGGAATCGAGACATGGAACGGAAATACCAAGAGAAACCCACTCCCATACTAGGAGGCCGGCGGACGATGAAGCCTCTCAAGAAAATAGCATGGATCATGAATTAGAGGAGATCCAAAGCCCTCATCAGCACCCCAGTCAGGCTGACGATGGAATAGACACTGAGACTCAGTCACAGTATTCTATGTTCCAGAGCGACTCATTGGGAAGTGCCAGTCTCTCATACTTCAACTCATCTGATGGGTTACCACCACCTCCACCACTACAACCACGTCGAAGCACTAGATCCCGACCAACAAAACCAAGTTAATGGATGACGAAGTTCCTCCACACCCGCTTTGAGAGAACAAACCGATATCTGCTGCTACAAGTTAAATGTCCGGAGTACTTCCAAAGGAGTCGGGTCTCCAAGTAATGCTCTACTCTGATAGCCTTCATACTCCGACAATTCAGGTATTTTAACCAGATTTAACATTGTTGTTATCAAATTGGCATGGCCTACTAGTCGCATTGACTTCTGAATTACCACTGTCTTTTGTTTCAGTTTAAAACCCGTTGTTTTTCTTCATTCTCAGCCAAAAACCAATGAAGGGCAACTCCTCCACATGACTGTTCTACCTATTTTTTCCCTTCTGGTTGTATCCATTCTCTGGGTTGTTTTACTCTGTTTTTTGTTGTCTACATTCTCTCAATTGCAACTCAAAAATCTACTGGTTTAGAGTATTTACATATTTATTTTCATCGGGAAAGTTCACATAACTGTCTAGTATTACTACAGAGTGCTTCTATGGGGAGAATTGCGGGTAGAGTCGTAGACCCATGGGTTAAGTCTTAATTCGACGCAATCCAATGTCTGAGGTATTCACTGAGCCTTGTGCAAGTATGTTGTTCACACTCAATACCTACTGCCTTTGTCACCGGAAGTCAAGATTTGGACTCAATGAAAATCCATCTGTTTTGTGTAGAGATTGTTCGTTTGTACTCGGGTACCTGTTGGTACCTAGGTACCTGTTGAATTTTTTCAGAAAATAGGTACCAAGTACCGCACCAGGCACCTCCTGGCAGGTACCGGCGGTACTTTTGGCAGGTACCGCGGGTACCTCCCCTCTCTTTCTCACCTAGTATCACTCCCAGAGTGCCAAGTCACTTTTTTCATAATTATTGTACCCTTTAAGTCAACCTCTTGATGCTTTTTTCTTTTTTTTTTAATAAAACAATTATCTTGATGTGAAGATTTTTGGTTCAAAAGTCTTTCAAATTTTGTATCCTCTTCCTCTTTATTTATGTGTGATCAATTTTTGACTTTTTTTTTCTCTTTCAAGTTTAGCCTTCATTATGTTTTCCCCCCTCCCTTTCTTCAACTGTCAACTTTTTTCAATTATTTTCTTATTTTCTAGAACCCTCCCAATGAGCTGGATTAAAAACCAGCTCATTGGGAGGAGACCCTTCAAAACCATTGAAGCAATGGTGAATACTTGCAGCATCTGGAAGGTTAATTAATGATTATTCTTCTCAAAAGAATGCAAAAATATTTGCTGAATCATGTGCACTAAGAATATTTTTCATTATTTAAATTGGCTTAAAAGGCATTTGTTTGTTGAACCATTTCTCAAGGGATTTTCTCAGGGTAAGTTATTGTATCCTGGCGGATTGGGAAATTTCTCTCAATTTATTTTGAAGCATTAGGTTTTAGTCCTGATTTTGTATGCTCATATTTATTGTTGTTCACTTGAATGGTTTTGAATCCAGCTCATCAGGAGGGTCTCCTCCCAATGAGCTGGTTTTTAATCCAGCTCATTGGGAGGGTCTCTTGATATTTGATAGACCAACAACAACTTCTGAGGCCCCCAAGGACGAGAAAAACGTAGCTCAAGAAAGCCAGCAGGATCCTGCAGAAGAGCAGATCTATATTGTCGCGGATAGGTTGCTCAGACAGGATGATCCATTAGAGAAGTCGATCAAAGATGGCATAGAATTGAGCCTAGAAACTCAACGCTTGTTGCTCAAGATCAAGGGCCAGTTGAATCCTCCCGACATTATATCCATCTCAATCCGCAAGCTGATTCAAGACGAGCTTGAAAAAGTGGATCAACGACTCCTGCTAGTTTCTGACCGTTGGGATGAAGACAATAGTGAGGATGAGGATCAAGGTGAGGATGAGTGGATCGAGGCCGAATCAGAACAGGTGGCCCTGGCAAGCTTGTTGGAAAACTTCAAGACCGAGATGTTGGACTTGAGCTGGTTTTTAATCGAGCTCATTGGGAGGGTCTCCTCCCGATGAGATGGTTTTGAATCCAGCTCATTGGGAGGGTCTCCTCCCGATGAGCTGGTACACAATCCAGCTCATCGGGAGGGTTTCCTCCCGATGAGCTTAAGATCAGCTCATCGAGAGGTTTCCCTCCCAATGAGCTCAAGAGCAGTTCATCAAGAGGTTTCCCTCGATGAGCTTAAGATCAGCTCATCGAGAGGGTTCCCTCCCGATGAGCTTAAGAGCAGTTCATCAAGAGGTTTCCCTCCCGATGAGCTTAAGATCAGCTCATCGAGAGGTTTCCCTCCCGATGAGCTGGTACACAATTCAGCTCATTGGGAGGGTCTCCTCCCAACGAGCTAGATTTACACGGGGACGGGCGGTACCCGTAGCGGTACCCGGGTACCGCCCCTTTTTTGCCAAAAAAAACCGGCACCCAGCACCGCCCGGCGGGTGCGCGGCGGGTGCGGGCGGTACCCCCCAAGCGGTACTAGGTACCTAGAAAAGGGTACCAACGAACAATCTCTAGGGAATGACTCCCAAACCTTTTGAAGGTTTTGAAGTTCCGACTCCCAATTTCAGGGTTAGAAGTCCTGAGGACCATCCGTAGCCAGTCCTCTCAATGTCCCATCAATTTGGTAGTTGTTTAACTAAGACTGTTTGTTTCCTATTTCTTATTGTTATCATTCAATAGTTGTTGACTGCTCTAACATTTTTTGAGGTGGACCAGGTGAGAGGAAGACTGAAAGTCACAGGCACTAGGTCTTGTAAAAGTGACTGGAAACAGAAGATAATATTGTTTAGATTCAGTGAGGAAGGAGTCTTGGGTGAGAGCCAGTCACAACTATATACAATCTATGGTTTGGATAGAAGCATACATCCTGGCTATAAGCATATCCAAAAACATTGTGTTCTTAGCCTTTTATCCTGAATTATTTGTAAAGATACTCTTTAAGAGTCTCAGTCAATGTTGCACTTGCTGTGTTGGCAGTTCATCCAACTTCCTGTTCTTTTAAGGTACTACTCTTATCTTTTTCTTTTATTTCATTTTGATTCATTTTGATTTTTATTTTACTGAAATTTCTATTCTTTTAAGCCTATAAATTTCTCAAATTATCAGTAAGGTAGCTCAATAATAAAAGAACAGGAGACCAACTACAGGATGTCCAATACCAAAGAGAACAAGCCACAGTTAGTTGCAACCAACATTCCTAAGTTGGATGACAAAAATTACAAGTCTTGGTCAGGATGCATGGAGGTCTATCTCAAGGCCAAAACGTTGTGGACGTTTGTTGGAGGATCCTAGATTCCCTCTGAATCAAAGAGGCACAAGGCTGCTCATCTTTTGATTAGCCATCTTGGAGACAGAGCATACAATGCCTGTGTCACAAGAGACAATTGAGACGAGCCAAACATTCTTTGGACTGTGATCACCAAGCAGCATGCTTCTGAGTTGGCAAACAACAAAGGCCAAGTTTGGTTGAAATTCATGCAATCAACTTATAATGGTGATCTTAAGGAATACATCACTACTCTCTGCCAAAAATTCATTCAAAAATTTTTGACTCTTCAAATAGGGGTTCCTGACAATCTTATCTCAATCTAAATTCTCTCTAAGTTTTCCAAAGATAAGTACAATGTAGTCAATCTTTCCTCATCTCCTATCTCTTTCCTCAAGCTAGTCAGGTCCTCAACTTAGGCCCCCTTTTACTACTTGTATTTTACTGGTTCACATCCAAAATACAAATGTAAAACATGACTTAGTTCCATAAAGTTTGAAGATACAAATTAAGCAGATGGTCAATTTTTTTCCTTGATGAGGACCCCAGATGGGTCAATTTCTCCATTTTTTACTTTGATCCCAACTTTTGCCAACTGAATAAGTATGTTTTTGGGGAAAAAAATCCAACTTGCAATTTGCTAATCTATGCAACCATTTTCAATTTTCAATTTTACATGAGCATCATTTTGGCCCTTGCAGACAGTCACTGAACATTTTCAAAACCTCACTTTTTTCAATTACTTCTTTGGGAGGGTCACAGGATGCAAGCAAAAAAAAGTCAACTTTTTCCATTTTTTTGGGAGGGTTGCAGGCTGAAAGCAACAAAAAAATTGAAGGCTTTCAGGCTGACAGGACTTCAAAAGTCCTGTTTTTGCAGCTATCTGCATCTGAAATTTCCCAAGGGACTTCCATTTTGCACCCTTGGTGTGATTCAAGGGGCAGATATCTGCAGTTACTCCTGAGTCCGATGGATACCCGCCAGCGGATGCAGATGCGGATTTGGATGTCTGATTCTGCTGAAAAAGCAAGCAGATATCCAGATGTGATGGGGCCATCTCTAGTTTTCAGCATGAGTTTGTGGAGATACTGGGTATGCTTGTTGCTCATTGGCCAAAATTAATTACTGATTGACCCCTTGCTTTCAGATGGAAATGGAAGGGTGAGTGTTTGAATTTGTCCTGCACTGGCGGTAGAGTTTTTGGCATTGGCTGGGCTGGAGGAGGTAGAATCTTCAAGTTTGTCTCTACTTTCTTTCAAGGCGGCCTCATGGGGTAAGATGATTTTTCTTCAGGTGAAATTCCATTGCACACCTCTTCAATCTGGCCAAACAGGAGATTGGGCTTCCCGTGATTGAATACTGTTGAGCAGTGAGTACACTTTGCTTTTCATCTTCTTGATTCATCATTCTGGAGGTTGACAGACATTAGAAATCCTTTCCAACAAGCGCCATGATGCTTGCTAAGTTTCTGCCACTTTTAGCTGTCACTAGGGGTCTTGGGCATTCTTGAGATAAAGTTGGATTGACTTTTCATGTTGCTGAGGTCTTCTGTTCCTTGATTTGCAACCAAATCACTGATTCCCTCACCCTGAGCTCCTGAGAGAGCGCGCCTGGTTTTTTTTTCTGCATTTGAGCGCGCCCCCCTGTTTCCCCCCGTTTCCCCAGGAGCGCCTCGTGACTGGCGCTGCGACCCTACTTGCCGACCATCACTTCGATCACTCACCACCACCAACACCACCACCACCACTCTATCTTCCTCGGCCGCCTGTCTCACTTCTCACCATCTTCATCATCATCATCTCAAACGGCGAAGGAATCTGATCTACTTCAACAGGGCCACTCACAATCCATCTCAGTCCCCAGTCAACCTCGCCTCACACAGCCCTCCTGAACAGGCCCTCCAATGGAAACCAATACACTCAAAACTCTCGCTCTCCCGCCGGATAGCCCTCTACCAAGCACTATCCAAGGCCCGCCTCTCATCTCTCATCACCCTCACCACGATGGCTAGCTACGCTCTCTCTCCGATTACCGCCGCTACCCCGCCCAGCTCATTGACAACCCTGCTAGCCACCGCAACCGGCACGTTCCTCTGCTCAGCATCCGCCAATACGCTCAATCAAATATTTGAAGCCCCAATGGATGCGCAGATGTCAGAGGACTCGGACGAGACCATTGGCCCGTCGGGCGATCTCAACGCCACCATGCCAGTGTCTTGCGACTGTCTCCGGGCTCA